CGCTACGGGATGTCTGACGTTATGCCCTCCGGCCGAAGCAGGCTGCTGGAAGACTTTCGCAATAACCGGTACCCTAATTTACAGCTGAGGGAGATTGCGGGGCACATCATGGAGTTCTCCCAAGATCAGCATGGATCCAGGTGGGATTAAACCCCTTGGCTTGTGGGAAGCTTTTGGGACAGCTGCTCTTTGAGTCAGCGTCGTTCGCCATTTGCGTCGCATCCTGAAGCAGAGAGGCAGAACAGGGAGGAGGAGGTGTGAAAAGCCAAGCAGCGTAGCGCTCTGACCCTTCATTTTAAGGAATCTTTGGGTACAAACACTGATAGCAGGAGTTGCTGCTCCAAAGAGGAGCCTGCTTGCTTTGTAATTTGCTTGCTAGCCCCGTTGGCATAGCTTAACTCATCTTAAAGAGCCGCCTGGACGGGAGGCCTTGCTGTATTATTCTGTTGGGATCTGCTTTGCTTGGAATGAGGAGATTTTTGGGGTACTGACAATGATGTGTGGCCAGGGACCTCGTGGCTGCGACCACACAAGGTTTCAGACAGCTGGATAGGGCAGCTGTGCTTTGAAGATCAGTGCTTTGTATGAGCTCAGTGTATGGAGCTTTTGAATGGATTTGTATTAGCAAATGCCTTGCGGTGCTGCTGCATGTACGCTCACTCCAGCCCTATTTTTCAGGTTTATTCAGCTGAAACTGGAGCGTGCTACCCCAGCAGAACGTCAGCTTGTGTTCAACGAGATCCTCCAGGCAGCTTATCAGTTGATGGTCGATGTATTTGGAAACTACGTCATCCAGAAGTTCTTTGAAGTAAGTCTGCGTTCCCCTCCTTGTAAGTCTTACTCAGGTGTCTGCTGTCCTGAGGTCGCAGAGGAGCTCACAGAAATCCTGCTGCTTGGCTAAACCGAGGGATATCTGTCAACACTGATGTCTCCTCCCCAAAAGCTGCTGCATCATTCCTCTTGGGGTGACTGAGGTGTGGGACTCATAAAGATTGATCTGGAAAGTAACACTGTGCTCCAAGATGCAAGAAGTGTAGGAATAAATAGGACCACATCCAGGAGACGTAGGTCCACCAAGGCTTTTCAAGGATGCTGTGCTGAGCTGTCGGCACTTGCGTATTTAGGAGTAAAAGAAGCTTTTCCAGTGAACAGCATCCACTGGAAGAAAGTGTTGTGTTTTCATACCGGGAGGTTGGGTAGATGGTCCTCTGTCCTGCTTGAAACTTGCCTGTGCTTCTCCGCCAAGCCTTGGTGGTTCTTCTACCCAGTAATTTTACAGCAGCCCTGTCAGGGCTTAGTGAGCGGGCACTTGTCAGCCCGGTGGCTCCAGCACCTTCGACTCTGGAGTTGGTTTGACTCGTGTCGGCCATGTCCGACAGTCACAGAGCAGACATCTGGCTTCTGCCTGGGCGCTTCTGTTGAGGCGCGGTTGGTATTTTCTTTCTCTTCAGTAGGCCCGGTGTTTCTTGTTGAACACCTCACTGGGATGACATGGGAGGGCTGCTGTGCCGCTTGGCCACGGGAGGGTTTTGTGCTTGTAGTGACTGGTTTTCATCTTCCCAGTTTGGCAGCCTGGAACAGAAGTTAGCCTTGGCAGAACGTATCCGTGGGCATGTTCTGTCCCTGGCTCTGCAGATGTACGGCTGTAGGGTGATCCAGAAGGCCCTGGAGTTTATTCCCCCAGACCAGCAGGTAATTGTAAGTTTCAATTTTAACTTTCTTCTTGATGTTTAACGTTCCTTGCCGTTTGGTGACCTGAACTGCGACCTTCTGTTCCTCTTGTGGCTGGTGTTCTTTTGGTTTGGTTTGTGGCATGTCCGTTACATTTTATGTGCATGAGAAGTTTGTGACACCGCTCTTGAGTCTCGTTGTCATCTCCTTGTTCCACTTAACTGGTGATAGTGTTGGTTCTCTGTTAATTCCCGGAAATCGGAGTATGTATGTAGGGGAAACCGAGAATGATAGTGAATTACAAGATACTTTAAAATCCCTTGAAGGAAGCAGCACCTGAGTTTACCCTTTAATATTTCCTGAGCTATCGCTGCTTTGAGATGTGGGTCAATATTCTGCTTTCCTGCAGCGTGAGATGTACAAGGAGCTCCTGGTTCCTGTTGAGGCAGGCCTGGCATTGGAGAGGTGTGGGTGACAGCCAGAGTCCCGCTCAAAGCTCATTAATAAAGCCGTTCATCTAGGAATTTATGAACAGTGAATCAAGATGAAAAATACGCTAGGCAAGCTGGCTGATAAAGGTGTTAGGAATCGTAATGCAAGAATCTCAATGTAGGTTATTACACTGAAAAAAGAGGCTTTAGGAGTGCGCTTTCCCTTCGGGTCAAGCCCGGGCTAAGCGGTTGCCTTAGTGTGTCAGCAGGGCGGTGGGTGGTGGCCCAAACTCCGGCACTGCTGGTCGGAGGATTTACTCATTGTCTTCCTCCAGATTGGTATTTTTGAGTACTCTGTGCTCCTGAAATGCCTGGTTTTCTGTCAGTTGCAGAACTGAACTCATCCGGTTTTGTAGTACCACTAAATTCCCCAAGCCTGTCATTCTCTGGTTTCCAATGGCAAAGCTTTCAGCCTGCACGCGTGGAACATCACTCGTAGCTGAACTTGCTCTGCTCAGATTCCTGAATTCTCATGCAGTATTACCTTGCCTGTGTAAAATACTAACCAGTTCTTCTCCCAGTGCCGACCCCGTTTTAGTGACATAGCAAGCTGATACCTGAGAAGTTTGTGAAGTTTGGGCATTTTAGATGTAGATTCTTTCTCTGTGCGGGGGGCAGAGGAGGAAACGAGGGATGCACAGTAAAGTTGTGGATCAGTAAAATTTCTTAAAACTGGATACCCAGCTTGTAAGAGGACACACGTTTAATGAAGGGAGTGCTTCATCTTGATTTTGCAACAGTATTTTTCTCCATGGTTTCTGTAGCACAGCAAGCTTCATCTCAGCACTTGGCCACTGGAAAACTTCCAGTTGGAAATACATCGGTGCGTCCTTCGTACCTTTTATGTTCTTGACCACATTTAGCAGTGAAAACCTTGCACTTATCAGCCGTGAATCCTGGTGGTGCTTTCTGTTTGTCTTTCTCTCCCCCTAATAGAATGAGATGGTACGGGAGTTGGATGGCCACGTCCTGAAGTGTGTGAAAGACCAGAACGGGAATCACGTGGTGCAGAAGTGTATCGAGTGTGTGCAGCCTCAGTCCCTGCAGTTTATCATCGATGCGTTTAAGGGGCAGGTAAGTCCTTAACCAAGATACTGACCCCCATTCTTTGCGTTCTTATATGTTGCTTTGGCTAGCATGGTAGTGGCTATAACTTGCTCAGATATTTTGAATTTTAAATTTCAGCAAGCGTCAGTTGAAAGGTTTATGCAGCAATGTTAGGGAGCCGAGAAACTCTTTGGTGCTGTCTCTGCTACCATTTTTGTGCAGGCATATCACAGTAAAGTGGCCTTCCAAAAATCTGTTTTCCTGGAACGTGAGGTATTTTTTGACTGATGGAGGGGAAAACAAGTCCCTTGTTAACCCACCCCCATGGTGAAGGTGGTGAGCAGAGTTTTGTGATGCGTATGACAAACTTTCATTAAAATCCTCTCTGTGAGGTTGGCTTAGGGGACTGCTGTTTCCCAAAGGTCTTGGACTAGGAGAAAAACGGGAGTTTCATCTAGAAAAGGTCAGTTACTTGTGCTTCATTCACCCATTTTTTTCTTGGTGTCCTCTCCTGAACTGATGTACTGGATACTCCTTTGCGTAGCTGGCTGTGTTCTGCCTGCAGTCAGCTGTCTGCCGTTACAGAAGCGCTGGTCTGGGCGTTTCCAGCTTAAGCTGAATTGGCTTTGGAGGGCGACTTTGAAGCATGGCGAGTTTTGCCCCCGGGGTGCAAGGACAGCACGGGGTTATTACAGCAGGAACCGGGCGGTGTGGTTTGGCTGCTCCTGGAGCGGCTGTGAAAGTGGCGACTTGCTTGGCTATGGCAGAACACGCAGGATTCGAGCTGGCAGCTCACTCAGCAGATCTGCTGGTTGGAGTTCGGCTGCGGACCTTCCACGAGGGAGGCAGAAACACCTCTGGGAACCTGGCTGGTGGTACTGACATTTCTTTGACCAGCCGTCCCAGTTCCATCTGAACGTTCACCTGACAGATTAAATTTACCGACTCAAGACTGTTCTTCTGCAGCTAGTTGCACTTCAAGTCCTGTTTTCCTCACAGTTTACTCAATAGTTCTTGAAAATTTTTAGACTCTCAATTTAACTTCAGTGCTTGGATTTGCTACTTTTGTTAATTTTAAGCAAGCAAATGGGACTGTGTGCTGCAGACAGAGAACTGTCAGCAGTAGTAAAATGAAGAAGGTGCCATGTTCCTTTGAACAGATTTGGTAATCCATTAGGAATGAGAAAGAAGGTTCTTTGTTGTCACTCCTCCTTGGCGCAGTTAAGGCCTTTAAACAAATCCAAATAGTTGAGGAAAATCCTTTGCAGAGCGTTGTTAACCTTTCTGCTTCATACCATTTCTTACATAGCTTAAGGTCTGTAGCAGGCAAACAGTAGGCGGGATTTCCTCCTCTGAAACAGTGTTTGAACCCAGCGTCTGACAATGCTTGCCTGTCCTGGTGCCCCTTGTATTAATCAAGATGTTTTACCGTTTGTTTTCCTGTTTCATGAATGGGGAGGCCGAAGCCCAGGCAGGGATGCGGTGTGCCTCTGCTCACCCAGTTAGTCCCGTGGCAGTGGGGACCAGAGGTTGCCAGTTCCAGGTTATGCTGTCGGGGCTGCCGCGCTGCAGGCTGGCGTTACCTGCCGTGCCCGGGGAAAAACCGCCGTGTGTTCGCTTCATTCTGAAAGGTTCCTAGGATTCAGAGACTAACAGATGTGTTGCTGCCTGTGCTTGCCTGTCCTTGTTGAACGCAGGTTTTTGCGTTGTCCACACATCCCTACGGCTGTCGTGTGATCCAGAGGATCCTCGAGCACTGTCTTCCTGAGCAGACCCTGCCCATCTTGGAGGAGCTTCACCAACACACCGAGCAGCTCGTTCAGGTCAGCGCAGGCCGGGGGAGCGTGGGTGCTGCGAGATGTTTCTCGGTCACTGCTGTGTTAGGAAAGCTCCTGGCAGCCTGGCCGGGGCTGCTGCTGGGGTGGTGCGAGCACAGGGACTCCCTTCCTGAGGAGGAACGCGAGGCAACCTGGCAGATGTGAAATGCATCACCGCTAATTGTTTTGGCTACGTGCAAATATCCAGCAGGTATCAAGGTTGTAGTTACTTTCCTTCTTGAAAAGGAGCTTAAGGATTGAGTGAGTGCGTGTTGTAATGCTTCACTCCAGAAGCTACAGCGCAACTAAGATCTGAAGGGACTTGATGCGAAGAGCTGATTACTTCTAGGAGAAGAAAGTGCCCAGTAACTGGGGTTCTTAAAACGGGTTGGTTTAATACACACCCCCTTCCTGGCTGCCTCTCCTCTTCCTCGCAGTCCTTCTGAGAACTGGTTTTTCTAGGATTCTGGTGTTGGGGCACGATGGACACAGCAGCAAAGGAACTCTGCTGTGTGCTCCTGTATTTAGCACGTGGAAAGCGGGAAGAGGTTGGGCATGGAGGTGAGGCATCGGGTCATGCCTCTGGTGTGGTGAACTGGGAAAATACATATCTTGTCACCTGAATGTACACACACTTGGAATACGAACGTGCCCAGGAACGGTCTCCCGTAGCTAGAACCATGGCACAGCCCTCCAGGATGTGTGTGACTTGGTATGTTTGAATCTGAAGAAAGCCGAGAAACTTGAAATAAGCGGAGTGTTGCCATTTCATGTTCAAGGAAAATGTTTGGAGTTTTATAATGGGTACAAAAACGTAGCATTTTACCTCCTGGAAAAACTCTAGAATGCACGTTTTTGTAGTAGAAGGTATTTACATGATTTATACAGTAGATATTTGAATTAGTGTTTAGTTCATGTATGTACATCTTAATGCACATGGGGAACTAGATTGATACTAATGGTTCCTGTCCACATTTTGTCACACGCTTCTGCTGTCTCTCAAACAGGATCAGTATGGGAACTATGTTATCCAGCATGTACTAGAACATGGTCGGCCCGAGGATAAGAGCAAGATTGTAGCAGAAATTAGAGGCAACGTGCTGGTGTTGAGTCAACATAAATTTGCTAGGTATGAATTTGTTCCTTAAAGTCTCCACACCCCATGGGAGCATGGACAGATGCTGGAGCTGCAGAAGAGTTAGGGGTGGGGTGTAGGTAGGTGAAAGGAGGTGAAAATAACTTTTTGCTTAACAACGGAATGCTATTTATAACTGTGTGTAAACTGGGATGAGTGACTGGCAAGGTAAGTTTTACTCATAACAAAGGAGGACGAAGGTGTGGAAGAGCAGCTCTGATCCACGTTCCTGAACTTGACTAAGACTTTTTTTGTCTTGTTGGTTTGGTTTGATGTTTTTCAAGTGGTTACTATCCCTTGGATAATAACGTGCCATCCGAGCATTCCACTGCCTCTGGGATACTCTGTCGAGCCACGAGGGCGTTCGGGCAGTCAATGTAGTAACAATTCTTTTTCATCCCACTCTTCACAGTAGAATCTGGGCTTTTTATATGCCAAGATTTGCGGTCCTTTTTGAGACGCGTGCGTAATGATATCCTGCAGCAGTCCAAGGCTGTTAGTCCAGGTACTACAGAGCTGCACATGGGTAGAAGCAAAATCCAGGTACCTTAGCAGATGTCAAGACACAGTAATACCACCCACATCTGTAAATTCCTTTTGTGTGTGTTTCTAGCCATTTCAGCAAAAGGCTGAGCTCTTCAAAGGCTCAACATTCCCCTCTTTTTATGATTAGTAAAATAGTGCTTTAATACTCAAGGACACAAGGGAAATGTAACATTAACAAGAATTAGAAGAGCGTGGTCTTAATGTTATTCCAGAGTCTTCCTCCCTGACTTGCCATGCTCTTTTTTCCTACCCTTCTTTCCAGATGGAGTGTTAATTAGCGTAGGATGTCCCCTGAGCTGAGCACTAGTTGTGGCAAACCACTTGATGATTTTGTGATTCAGTCTGGGATGCAGAAGATAAGATGAGCAAAACTCAGTCCCCTTGCTTGTATACCCTGTTTAACTTGGCTCTCCGGAGAGCAGGGGCTAGTCCATCGAATATAGTCAGGAATTTGGGAAGTTCTCTGCCTTTGCTAAGATCTGTTGTTCCTGCATCACATTTCCCTGTTGTTTTAACCTTGGACCTCTGTTCCCGTTGAGCTCCAGTACTGAGAAAACCAAAGAACAGCTCATCTGCTTCTCTGACGGGCACAGTGTGAGGGCAGAGACTGAGCTCAGATACAGCGTCGCTGCCGAGGTGCACGGACTTGGGTGAAACAACACCTGAGCTGGTCCTTTACCCAAATTCCCACTCGGATCCCGAGTTCTTTGGACTGCTCTTCTGTTTCCCATTGCTAAATTTCTGTGCCGGCACATAGGTCTCTCCCAAACGGTCTGCCCTCACCAGAAGCGTAAGAGGTCTCCTTGGGGTTGAAGGAGAAGCCCAGCAGAGGTGGTGTTACTCACAGGTTGTCCTCCTCCTATTGTTACAGCAACGTGGTGGAGAAATGCGTTACTCACGCCTCCCGCACGGAGCGTGCCATGCTGATCGATGAGGTGTGCACTATGAACGATGGCCCTCACAGTGCCTTATACACCATGATGAAAGATCAGTACGCCAACTACGTGGTGCAGAAGATGATCGACGTGGCGGAACCAGCGCAGCGGAAGATCGTCATGCACAAGGTAAGCTGCTGCCCGCCTTGATGAGGACGTAAGGCTTGTCGCCGCCACGCTGGTTGCAGAGGGAAGATGGGGCTGGGATGATTGCTTTTGCCGTTCGGATTTCCTAACGACAGAGGTATTTCAAAGCTGCATGTTTCAGTAGTAGCTGAAATATGGGAAGATGAAATAACGAGATGTTGGAGTTACAACTAGCTGGTTGCTTCTAGCGATCTCTGCTGACCTAGTAACCTAGTTGTGCGCTCGGAGCGTAGCAAACGCTGCTACAAACGGCCAAGACTTTTCCCGCAGCGGCGTGGAGGGGCAGGGGCCTGGCGGGGGGCCTG